GAATTACAAGAGAAGAAAGTTGGAGAAAGTATCAACAGTAAATGAAAAAGATACTCAAAAGCAGTATTTAAATATTTTCAATAGCACTGAAAATGGCTTCCTGCACGAACAGAGTTGGGCAAAGAAAAATATATCAAATTTTCACAAATCAATTTTGTACAATATTTGTAAATGTTCTGTATGTCATGAGGCATGGCCTTTGAAATCAAAACCAAGAGCTGTAGATTGTTATGTATGTTCAAGATGTTTAAGAGATAAAAAATGTCCAAGGAAATTTTCTTTTGAAAATTTTATGATTCCATCACCAGTTCCACCTCAATTGCAGGGTCTTTCTCAGGTTGAAGAGATGCTTATTGCTCGTGCTCTTCCAATTATGAGGGTTTATATCAAACCAGGAGGACAAAGGGGTTACTCTGGACATTGTATTAATTTACCTCAAAATGTTAAAGAGCTTGCATTAAGATTACCTCGCTATTCTAAAGATTTATCTGTGATTATTGTTAAGGTTAAAGGTAGGAATGATACATTCAAAGATGTGAATGTACAGCGACAAAAAGTCCATGATGCATTGACATGGTTAATACAAAACAATCCACACTATTCTGATGTACAAATAGATCAAGAAGCATTAAATGCATTACCAGACAATGATGTACCTTATGATCTATTAACCGTTCAGACAGATGAAACTTCTGATAATAATGAGCCAGATTTAGGTCCACCAACTGATAATCATAGTGAGGATAGAGTATATAATGAGTCTACTGATATGAGTAGTTTTCTTCCTATTGGTGAGGAACAGGAACAGGAAATAGATGCTGTTAGACAACAGCTTCTAGGAGATGAACCCATGTCATGGCCTACTGTTGAGGATCAGCCTTTGAATGAATATCAAACACCATTTTTAGCAACTATGGCATTTCCTACGTTATTTCCAGATGGTAAGGGAGATCCTACTAATCAAGCATTGGCCCGAGATGTTTCTCTTTTAGATAGAGTCCGACATTTAATTAAGTTTGCTGAAAAAGTAAATGGTAAATGGGTCTATCGCTTTGCTAGCCACCCCAGGTTTTCATACTGGGCATTGAATATGATACAAAGGAAAAGGACGCTTGAACAAACTGGAATATTTCTAAAACAAAATCCAAGTGAATCGCATTTGACAATTGATGAACTACGTGGCATGGCAGAAAGTAATAGTTCAGCTGTATTCATGCCTAAAGTTTCTAGGTATGTTGCTAATATTGCGGGTACAAATGCTTACTGGCATAAAGTCAAGGAGGATTTAAAAGCAATTGTAACTAATGTTGGTACTCCAACATTTTTCTTTACTTTTTCAAGTGCAGACATGCATTGGCCAGAACTACATTCATTGTTTTACGATGGCAATGTTTCAGAATTGTCTAGTCAGGATAGGCGTCAAAATGTAATTGACAACCCTCATCTTGTTGACTGGTTTTTTACTCAACGCTTAGAGAGTTTTATCAAATATTGGCTTCATGACACTCTAGATGCCAAATGGCATTGGTATAGGTTTGAATATCAAGGTAGAGGTAGTATTCATTGTCATGGTACTGCTAAGCTTAACAATGACCCAGGGTTATGTGATTTGACTAAGGTTGCATTGAAAGGGTACTTAGCTCAGAAATTTAAAGATGAAAACACTGTAGAGGACTCAACTGAATTAGATCAGGATATTGAAGCTGGAAATGAAGCTACTCAAACTGCTTGTAAGTATGTTGATTGGTTGTTATCAACAATGAATCCAAACCCTCCAGATGAAGAGATGTGGATAAGACCAGATGTACATCCATGCCAAAGACAATATAATGATATACCTGAGTGGGATATGGATTCAGATTATGTTGATATTCTTAATATGGTACAGCGTCACACACGTTGTAGCACAAATTATTGCTTAAGAAAAAAATCCTCAGAAAACGAACTGAAATGCCGATTCCATTTCCCATTTGATCACTGCAGTCAAACTAAAATTGAATTTGAAAAAGTTAACAGCAAAAGCAGTAATGAGCAACAATACAGAGCAAAAATTGTCATGAAAAGAAATGACTCGAGGCTTAACAATAACCAGCGTCTTCAATTACAGGGCTGGAGGGCTAACTGTGATATTCAGGTTATTATTGACCATTATGCTTGTGTAGAATATCTGACTAAATATGCTGCAAAGGGTGAACCAAGATCACCTATGCTAAAACAAACATTCAACTCTATTGTGAAAAATGCTGACAACTCGAGTAATCCTCATAAAGCTATTAAGAAAGTTGTCATGAAAACTCTCGGAGAGCGAGATTATGCTGCTCAAGAAACTATGCACCACCTACTCTCACTTAAGCTCCATAGCTCATCATTCAATGTCATTCCAATTAGTCTCAATGGGTCACGCCGTGTAAGTATCAACCAATCTAAAGGTGATTCTGACATAACATGTACAAGTAACTCACTTCTTGATGTGTATGCTAATCGTGAGCAATATGATGTTTCCCAACAAGTTCTCAATATGAATTTTGTACAGTTTGCTACAACATTGAAAGTTGTTAATGGTAAGTTAGAAAAATTGTCTCAAAATGTGATTCCTCGCATATTTCCAACATATTCCAGTAATCCAAAAGGACCACATTTTGGACAGTATTGTAAGTATCAACTTCTTAGGTACAAGCCTTGGAAGATAAATGAAAACAATGCTTGGGGAAGTGAAGAGCCAACTGATGACACATTTATCAGATCATGGCATGATTTTTTGCAAACAGAGTATGCTCAAACAAATGTACCAGATTGGTTTGATAAACTCCAAAATGCTATCCAAAACCAAGAAATTGAATTTGAAGAACCAGCTGAATCAGCACCTAACAACCGTGAGGAGTGGATGATATTATCGGATAGAAATATACCATTTGAAAATAGTTGTGTATCGTCAGGCCAATCACACGATTGGCAAAGTGACAGACTATGCTATACTGAACAACAAATTGGTGAAATGAGCTCATGGATTAAGACAAAAAGAGAACAAGTTACCTGTTTTCACAATGAAATCAGTGCAGAAGTAAATATTAATACTTTTAGTAGAATGCAAGGACTTTCATATAATATTGTCAATTCTCATCAGTTAGATAACAGCAATGATAAGGAACCATTGTGCCTCATAATAATAGGTGTAGCTGGTACAGGTAAAAGCTATCTTATCAATGCTTTACGTAACTTACTGCAAAATAAATGTGCTGTTACTGCTACCACTGGAAAGGCCTCGTACAATATCAGGGGAGTCACTATACATTCTCTGCTAAAATTACCAGTTGGTCCAAGAGGCAATAAGGAGCTTTCTGGGCAAAGCTTATCAAGGTTACAAGATAATTTGAAGGACATAGAGTACATACTCATAGATGAATATTCTATGCTTGGCCAAACAACATTAGGCTGGATTGATAAACGCTGTAAGCAAGCTAAAGCAATATACAACAGGATTTTTGGTGGTCTTTCGGTGATCTTAATTGGTGATCCTGGTCAACTGCCTCCAGTAGCAGATAAACCATTGTACCATGCTCAACCTTCTAATCCTATTGGTGAACAGGGTTATTTAGCGTACAAAATGTTTGATATGGCAGTTAAACTAACTGTAAATCAAAGAGTGCATGGTACATCTTATGAACAACAACAATTCAGAGATTTATTATTGAGGCTTAGAAAGGGTGAATCTACCAAAGAAGATTGGCAACTGTTATTAACTCGCCAGCCTTGTAGTGTAGAAAATATTGCTGATTTTAACAATGCTACCAGATTGTTTTACAGTAATGATGAAGTTTCTTCTTACAATCATGAACAGCTAAATAAGCTTCAGCAACCTTGTGCTAATATCAATGCTCGTCATTCATCAACAACAGCTAAAAATTTACCATCAGATGAGTTGTCAGGCTTAGAGCCTGTTCTGTATCTTGCAAAGGGGGCTAAAGTGATGTTAACAATGAATCTCTGGGCAAGTGTTGGACTTTGCAATGGAGCTACAGGAACTGTTATTGATATCATTTATGAACTTGGTCATATGCCACCTGATTTGCCTATAGCTGTTATAGTGAAATTTGATGACTACAGAGGCCCTGCATTTATTGAAGAATTACAATCATGTGTACCAATTTGCCCTATTACTGCATCAGCTCAGTTGTTTGAAGGTGTTCATGAAAGACAACAACTTCCGCTTAGACTTGCTTATGCATTGACTATCCACAAAAGCCAAGGGCTTACACTAGCAAAAGCATGGGTGGACATTGGTAAATCAGAAAAAACTCCTGGCGTCTCATATGTAGCTATTAGTAGAGTAAAAACACTATCATCATTAGTTCTTGAACCAATGACCTTTGAAAGGTTAACAAGTGTTAAATCATCTGCAACATTGCATTATAGACTTGAAGAGGAGTCTAGACTAGATAACACTGCACAATTAACAACTGTCCAATTCTCTAGACAGGATTTATAAAATAGGCTCAAGCTGTTCTCCTTATATTAGATAGGTATGGCACAGGCCCCATACTTTATAAATATTTTTTTCTACTTAATAAGTATATGCTTGGACACAGTAGTTTCAGCATGTTTAGTAGCCTTTCTTTCACTGTGTAAGATTTAGTTCTTGGTAAGTTTCAATAGGTTTTTACTGAGTATTTTTATAGTTTTCCTCTGATTCGTAATTATTCTTAGTTATAGCTATTATAAAATCCACTGAAATATAAGTAGAGTATTTATAGTCAAGTTAATATGTACTATATATTTTTTAGGTTACACTACAGTGTCATAAAACTGAAATGGGTGACGGTAAGTTAAAATTTTGCTATTTTTGTCCTCCTTACTTAAGCATGAATTTGAGACCATTTGCAAGTAAAGTTCCAGCAGTAAATGAAAATAAAATGTGCTGATTTTAATAAAGTCTGATTATTTTCAGAAAAACCACAGATAGAGTGTTATATACACAGCGTATCTCCAATTAGGAAGAGTGGACGAACCTCCTACTTCAATTACGTTCTACAAACAGAAGACTCAATTAAGAAGGGAGTCTCTTTTAACCTTGAAAGAAGAGAAGCAATGGAAACTCTATCTAAGCAAAAGTCCCCGGTGAAGATTGACAAGTACCAGACAAGTGATAAATATGGTAGAGAAGATGTACTGGTCAACAAAGATACCACCATTACACCAACAATGGTCAATTTTGCTTACCAAGATCAGGAAGAAGTGATTTCTATTGCCTCCTTAAACCATGTAGCATCTGAACAACTGATCACCATCAAAGGATATCTGGCACACTTGGGTTGCACTAAAAAAATCTCTATCAATGGGTCTGAGGTAAAGAAACAAGAAGGGTATATTGCAGATCCTTCTGGATTTATCAAAGTCATCTTCTGGGGTGGACATGCAGACAACCAGCAGGAAGGTTAGAATAGAATTTATTAATAAAATATCAACTACAGTCTTACAACTGAATTTGTGTTTCAATTAAATTATATATACAAAATATGATACAGTCAAATAGAATGCTTGCCTTAAATGTGTGAAACATAAAAAATACAGAAAAGGTGATAAAGCATGCTATTTCTTTTTGTGTCATATTGTCTAATCAATACTATGTAGTAGCAATTAATAGTATTTGTTTCACACTTTAAGAGTAAGTAATCTATTAAAAAGCACCAAAACTATATATGACTATAAATGTTTATATTTATAAATAATCAATAGGGATAAACTATTTCTGCATATTAAGAGAACATCAAGTTGTCTATTTTTCCTTAGGCTGCACTTATGTATTCAAAAAGATAAGAATTCGAACAAGTCAAGGACAAATCTATCTTAATACTCCTAAGCAAGAAGAAGAATGTTCTATTGAGCCAACTGATCCATTTAGAGATCCAACCTGCCAAGTAGATGATCCATCAGTTAACAATGACCTTATAGGTTCTATTATTGGCGTCCTGTCTAGCACCAGAAACCTTGCTTGTGGTCATTGCTCCAGAAAAGTAAATATCAAAGGAAACCTTGCCCTTTGTGCAACATGTAAAATGACCCAGAAGAAAGATGCATGTGACGTGACATGGTACTTTAAACTATTCGTTCAAAGCAAGCAAGATGGAAAAAAAGTCCACCTTCATGTATTCAACCAATCAGTTGTGCAAAAAATCTTTCACATGAAAGATTTGACTGATGATTCTTCTGAGGATGACATCTTGTGTGCTTTGTTGGAGTTGTCAGAAGTTAAGATTACCTATGACAGCCAAACCCATAATATAATTGACATTGAACTTATTGATATCTAAGCTATACTCAAGATAAAATCAGTTTACAGTCAAGAATATGTTTGAAAAAATTTTTATACAAATTATCACTTTTTTCCTTAAGAAAAATATATAGTCTATCATTTATACATTTATCTAGTTTCTTGTTATGTTCACATTTTTATGGTGATAGCTTAGACGTTTTATACCAAGTTGATATTTTTTTATTGGAGTGACATCATGTAAAATTATACAAATCACAAAAGAAATTACATTAATATAAAGTTGTTGGGTTTTTGCATCCTTAAGAACCCAGGTATAATCTTCTGTTGTTCGTTCCTCACTCACGAACGACAGAAGATTACCCCTGAGTTCCCAAGGATGTTTTTTTTTTATTTTGAACATGGCATCCTTTTTTGAATAAACATCATGCCAGTTTTTATCATGACAAATGTTTTGCAACAATGAAATATCTTAAAAACAGTATGTTTGTTTTTTAATAGATACATTATCTAGCCCTTTTCTCTAGATTATTGTTACAGGTTAAAAATATATTGTTTGTTTTAAAGCTTTAATACCAAATAAATAAATTGTTTAGAAAAAATGTTTTTGTTAATTGTTTTCCCATTTACTTTTAACATAAAATCCTCTCAATCTTGCAGTGTAACAACTTCAACCAAAGTAGCCCAAGCAAACGTTTTATAACAATATTTTCAATTAAATTCTCCCCACATTCATTATTATTAGTTATCATTAGTATGTGCCTCAAACAATATAGAAAGAAGTAACTCGCAGCATTATCCTTTCAACAGAAACGTCTAGTTATAGGCGGGAATATATTAAAGAAGTGATGACTGACCTGTCTATGAGTTCAGAATGCCGTACGGGTTTTCACCGCGAGTATTAAATACCAGACAAAGGTAGGACAAGAAACTCGCAAATTAGTATGCACGTGATACGGTGCGAATTTACTCGGAATCCAGGCTGAACACAGCGAATTACATTGAAATCAAGCCTGTTTAGATATATAGGAAGACGAAGGATGGATGAGAAGATAGAAGTGGTAAGTGTACATGTATGAAAACATGTACAATGCTCGCTGGTTGTCACTATAATGTTCAGACGTAGTGATCACTAAAAGTTTTCTACTCAATACACGATTGCAGTACGTAWCACTAATACAAGTAGAATAACATCGTATAATGATACAGTGCACAKCAATAGCGCATGGATATGTTGAGAGTCTGAAAAATGAGGATCCGATGTGAGTTTGTAGTAAACATATGACGCTTTTACAATATCAAGTAACTGAGCGCTGCTAAAAGCTATAGGTCAACAACGTTGCCCTGTACGAAGATGCAGATATGTAGACTATAGCGGTGTAGCTATATAAGTGATGCTAGCGACGGTTTTTACTCGTTATAWGTCACTATGACACATAGATAATCTTTTTTCCAAAATACCGTATAACGTCATGAATGTTTTGCAACCATATACCAACAATTATACTTGTTATATTGACTATTCTTGGAATTCCAATACAGTGTGTAAAAGCGGGA